TCTCTCTCTCTCTCTCTCTCTCTCTCTCTATATATATATATATATATATATATATATATATATATATAGATTTAGGTTCATGTGAGAACTTAATCTTAGGAGAGAAAAAAAGAATAGATATCAACCATTGGATCATCTCCTAATTGTTACACGTGACTAATCTTCCAAGAGGTTAGAAGGGTCATTCTTTTTCTTTCCATCTTAGATCCATTCCGTCATGATAACTTCTTTCCTTCCTAAAATTAAGGATTTAGTTAAGATTATTATTTTCTTGTTTCTTCCTTGATATCTTAACCATTTGTGCGGTTGTACCACCCACCAATCAAGTGATTAATTTGCTCCCTTTTTCCATCTATAATTAATTTGCTCCATTTAGCTTATTATTGCATAAAGGTGCATTCGGTAAAATATTTGAGTACATCGTGAAACCAGAAATGTGCATATAAATTGTATGATTAAAATTCATACAACATTTGCTGGAAAAGTACACAATGGCTCACATGCAAATGAACGAGTTAGATTGTCATATTAAAAGTACAAATCAATATAAATAAAAGTGCACGTAGAGAAGTTTAACACACTTTGATCAAAAGTATGGCTAGTTGTACCAAAAAGTGCCTAATTATATATCAAATAAAAGTATTCTATAAAACTATTTGAATTTTATAGAACAATCGTAGATCAACTACAAAATGTGTACCTCAATGTTAGAAGTGCACAATAACTCAAATGAAGTGCATAATAGAATGATCCACTTAAAACATATTTTTAAACATTAAACATATGTAAATAGGGAGAGGTTCTAATGAGAACACCCCTTATTGTGAGAAATGAGAACAAATCCCAACCTTCCAAAATATGTGATGATCTCCCGATCAAATTAATGCTGGCACAGTGCATTTACGTCTTCTTCTCTAAAGGCAGTTAAGGTGACCGGTCAAGCATTTATGTGTTCTGCACGTTTAGTATGGAAAGAATAAAAAACTACCAATTACATTAATTGTTTAATGATCTTAATTTTCACGTAGCTTTACAAAAAAACATTGAAACATCAAAAGTTATAAATATATGCGCTCAACGTGTAAAAAAATATTTCTTTTTGTAAAACTCCTTCAACCGTCATCTTCTCCAGTCGGATCCTATGCAAAATATCTCTTATTCACATTATCAAATTGTCTTTGCATAGTACACTCACAAAGTATACTCACGCCACCCTTTGCGTTTGTTGTTTGCTGAATCACACAAACTACACAATGCACCAGTTATAAAGCACAAATTATCATAAGTATAACACATTTCATCTCATCAAACTACAAAAACCATATTCTGATATTCATCTCCATAAGTGCACATTTCAGTTCTAATAGTGCACACATGTACCATACCTCTTTCACACTTCTAATCAGTAAAGAAACAGCGTGCTTAGTATTATCACACCAACTAAATTCTCATGCACTTTAACTTGCACTATTCTGCACCGTAATTTCATTCCATGCACTTGAACATCATAGTAATGCACCAAGCTTGATATTACCACAAACCATATTAATCTTCACTAGTGCACAATTCGATTCTAATATTACACACGTGTACCATACCTCTTTAACACTTGTAATGAAACGTAGTGTTTAGCTTATCACAACAACTCAATTCTCATGCACTTTAACATGAACTGGTCTGCAACTTAATTTCAAATTCATGGGAATCGGTTCCTAATGCATAAATGAGAAGGTTTTTTGCATCACATATTGAAAGTTAATTGAAAAAATATTATAATTAACTTACTCCGTATATAAAAAAAAATGCATCCCTTTGCCGTAGTATATGGTTACCAGTAATATAAACAAATGCGAAACTCAGTTGCTTCTTTCCATATTCGAGTGTGGTTATTTTTGCAAGACTAATGACTTCTCCGGATCTTTCCTTGTGGGAAGTGGCGAAGTGCAAACCAGAAGTCCAGAAGCCGCCGCCCAATAATAGACGTGGGTTTGTGTGATTTACAACTTTGCCCTTTATTACATGCACGTCCTCCTCTCTGTTTATACGAGACAAGTTAGTGTGTGTGAAAATCCATCTGGGTATTGTGAACAAAACGATTAATAGCCGGCCATTTAATGAGATGAAAGGTTAGGATGTGTTCTCACTTCTCACAATAAGGAGTGTTCTCATTTGAACCTTAATAGATTGTGGTTCAAATGAGAACAAGCCTTAATGTGAGAAGTGAGAACAAATCACAACCATCCGTTAACAACTTTCGATCTGCGTTCAACTTAAATTAAAACAAGGGTATTAGCGTATGTACTTAATCCTAAGCAGTTTTGTAACCGATGCTTGTATTTAATATATTCATCCGATCCACTATTATAAACATTACATTCCATATATTAATAAATAATGTATTTTATTTGTCACATACTCAAGCAAGTGACTTTTCCATTTAGAGCTTTTTGCATGTTTTTATGCAAAGTTCGTGAGTGTGCAATAAAGAAAAGGAAAGAAATTATTATTCACTTTTTTAATTCTTGTCATTCTTATTTTGCCTTTTCTTCATATTGGTTTTCATTTTCTTAATCACTACTACATCAATTTTATATTTCTCATCTGTAATTATCATAATTCATAATATCTTAATCACTACTATATCAATCTGGTGCAAATGATTGTAAACTACAAAATCATTATCTAAAAAAACTAACGCCACCCCTTATGCACAATTCAAGCACTACCACACTACACACACTACTATGTCATTCAAATGCACATTTACACTTATTTTTCAATTTCTGCACAATGAATGAGTATCAGTTGCCCATTCATGGTTTCCATATGTTCACCATACTTTATGTATTAACATTTGCATATTTTGTTCACTCGTATGCATCCGTACAATTCACTACTACACTATTGTGTCACACAAATGCATTATTTGGGGTTGTGTGTTAGATACTGGTTCTTATGCATGATGTATTTGTTTTGATTCTCTATGTTCATACTAAGACACTAAGTGTTAGATGTGAGTTCTCTATCATATATATGTATTGTGTTGTAGATACTAGTTCATGTGTACTATATAATAGTTTAATTTATATGAAATCCTTATGAATTCGATATCAGTTCTCAATTGTTGTGCGTTAGATATTGCATTTTGTGATTGTGATACTTGTTCTAGTGTTTTATGTATAAACTATCTGTGAAATATTACTTCTCGTGTGCATTACAGATTGAGTGTTGTGTGTTAGATATGCTTTCTTGTGTGTATAGCCGGAGATGCTGGTAGTGGTTTATAATTGATTACGTAATATACCTATTTTTTAAAAACAAAATTACATATGCAATATTGGTGTCAAATTATATATATGTATGTATAGAGGCCTGATCCTGTCCCGCCGGAGGGACAGGACCCGCCGTCCAGCCGTAGCCATTTGGGGCCCTTCCCGGTGAAATTTTTAGATGAAATTTTTTGAGCATGTTCTTCATGAAGTCTAGTTTATCCATACCAAATTTCAGCTAACAATTCAACCGGGAAGGCAGTCAAATGATTTTTGGAAGTTAACTGCGCAGTTTATATACATATAAAACGCAGTTATCTTCCAAAACTCATTTGAGTGCCTTCCCGGTTGACTTTTTAGCTGAAATTTGGTATGGATAAACTAGACTTGATGAGGAACATGCTCAAAAAATTTCATCAAAAAATTCCACCGGGAAGGGCCTCTTATGGCCTTGGCCGGACGGTCCCTCCCGTCCCTCCGGAGGGACCTGATCTTTTCTATGTATGTATGTATGTGTATGTGTATGTGTGTGTGTCTATATATATATATATATATATATATATATATATATATATATATATTGGTTCAAATAAGAACATGATCTTACGAGAAAAATGAGAATGAATCTGAGTCGTCAGATTTGCTTTATGTGAAATTCAATGTGCATTAGATGAAGTTGTAATGTGTATTAAGTGAAATTGAAATGTACACCACAAAGGATTCAATGTAGTGACATTATGTAAAGCTAAATTGTGCATTAGGTGAATTTGAAATGTGCACTAGATGAAACTAAAATGTGGAGAATAAAAGGTACGATGTGATGTTATTTTTGTACCTTTTATTCCGCACATTTCAGTTTCACCTAATGCACATGTGAGTTTAAAATTTTATTTTGCACATTTCAATATCATCTAATGCACATTTCAGTTTCACCAAATGCACAATTCAGTTCCACATAATTCAATCCAACGGTCCAGATTCGTTCTCACTTCTCTCCTAAGATCTCCTAAGATCTGTTCTTACCAGAACCGCTCCCTATGTGTGTAATACGTGTGAAAAATGATAGAAAAGATGAAACATTATTTAGAGCCCGTTTGGTAGCACCAAAATCGGCTGTTTTGGCTGATTCTGCTGAAATTTATGATATTCTGGCTGGAGTGGCTGTTTTGGCTGATTCTGCTGATTTAAGAAAAAAATATTTTAAAAATATATTTTATTAATAAATTAAAGAAAAAATTATATGTAAAAATAGCTAAAATGGTCCTCTACAGTAACTTCAGCCAATACAGCCAGAAAAGTAACTCCAACCTTACTTTTTCGGCTTATTACACAATTCAGCGCGCGAAAGTAAAAGTTACGTGTTTGGTGAAAAAGCTGGCTGATAAGCCTGATAAGCCGAAAACAGAGTTCTCCAAACGGGCTCTTAGCTTTTAATTTTTAAAACTGTGAATCTAAAACCCATTCATTATTTATCCTCCGTGTTTGTGATGCTTATTTTAAAAAAGTTCCATGGTCTTTTGAATTAGATTCTCCTTAAAAATAATACGAACTTTATTTTAATTTGATATTAGCATTCACATATGACTATAGATAGGTATCCATTTTTTATACTAAAAAGCTATATAGCTTTTTATTATTATTCTACCAAGATATTACAGTTCACATATACCAAGACCAATTCAAGTATTTGATAAATGAAAAAAGTATGCATGACTAACACTGTAAAGTTCCCATATGTGGTAACAAAAGTCCGCAGAAAGGTCGGCCGAACCTTCGGGTGCAGACCCCTAATAAGGAAGCACAAAATAATAATATAATGGTTTTTTATTTTCCAAAGGCAAAGGGTTTTCCCTATAACAATATATAATTAGGGATTTCCTGTCTTAGCTTGATCTTTCAGACTTTCTTGTGAGATTTCAAAAACACCCATTTTCTGGGAGTTTTGGAAAAGGAAGGGAAAAGAAAGGAAATTAAATGGATGCAAAGAATGAGAGAAAGGCAGCCGGAGAGGAGAGCGTCTTGCCGGGTTTCCGGTTTCATCCGACCGATGAAGAGCTGGTGGGGTTTTATCTGAGGAGGAAGATTCAACAGAAGCCTCTCTCCATTGAGCTCATCAAACAACTGGACATCTATAAATTTGATCCATGGGACCTTCCTAGTAAGTGATCAAGTCAACCCTCTCCATCTATCACTTTTAATTTGCTTCATATGTATGTGATGAGTGAGTCTTGTTTTGTTGATCGGCACAAGTTATAAGTGATATGATCATCTTCTATAAAGATCATAACTTTCTGGTCTAATTATAAAAAGGAATAACACCCCATCCCTTAAGGATCCATAATCAGCCGAACAGTAATCTCGGATCATGTAAATTGAGCTTTAATTTGATCACGATAGAAATTGATCTAACTATAAGTTTTAGTATTTGTTTGAGACATGCTAATAATCTCCAAAATTGCTGAAGTTCATGAAAACCCTAGCTAGCCCTAGTTGATTTAGTCTTTGCTGTTTAACTGTCACAGCTAGGTTTGAGCTATTATTACTTAATTGAGTTGTAGTCTTTCAAAATCAGCTCAAGATAAAGTTGTACCTTCATTATCAACACCTCAGTTTCAACCGGTTAAAGTGGTTCATACCAATTTCTAGAAGCCGGGAATGTTTTATCAATGTTTTACTCCTATTTAAAAAAATCAAAAATTTATTTCCCCAATAGCCATACATAGTACTACGTAGAAATATAAGAACAAATTAAAAAACCTAACAATAAATACACAGTGGTATTTTCCGCATTATTGAGTGTTTTAAGAACTCGGAGAAATGAAGGAGGTACTTATGGCAGAACGGACAAATCTGGTCTTTCACAATAAAGTGATAGACGGGACTGCCACGAAAGGATTTATTAGTAGATTAATAAATCACTTCGGAATGGCATATACATCACATATCCTGGATCAAGTAAAAACTCTGGGTTTTCAACAAGCGACTACTGTATCCATTTCATTAGGAATTGATGATCTTTTAACAATACCTGCCAAGGGGTGGCTTGTTCAAGATGCTGAACATCAAAGTTCTATTTTTGAAAAAAACAATCAATATGGAAATGTGCACGCAGTAGAAAACTGCATTTTAAATGTATATTCCGGACCAGTTTCTTTCAAAAATCATTTGACGACCTTCCCGATTGAATTTTTTGCTCAAATTTGATATAGATGAACTAGACTTGATGAGGAACATACACAAAAAATTTCAGCCAAAAATACCACCGGTTGTCGGGGTTCTCACGAGTTCTCATTTTAAGAGGGGTTCTCATTAGAACCCTCCCCTATATATATATGTATGTATGTATGTATGTATGTATGTATGTATGTATGTATGTATGTATGTATGTATGTATGTATGTATGTATGTATGTATGTATGTATGTATGTATGTATGTATGTATGTATGTATGTATGTATGTATGTATGTATGTATGTATGTATGTATGTATATATATATGTTCATTATGTAATGTTATAGAAATCATCAAAGACATTTATACATATTTTATACAAATTTTTCTTTTCATACGATTTGTTTGGTCTCACATATCATAGGTTTCAAATGCTTGAGACTTGAGCTCGACCCCTTGTCGCATCTCATGCATGCTTTATAACATTGTTTCAAAGGATGACTTCTTCTATGTGACAATTGCTCACGTCCTATTTTAAAAGTGTTACTAAATAAATATACTCTTTTTGTGGAACCGGTCGAGTACATTTTTAGAAATTTGCAAAAATATAAATGAATCAAAACAAGTTCAATGTGTTGTTGAGAAGATTTCTTAAATGGCTCTATAGCATGGACAAAATGTACAAATAAGATTATCATTATTTTCTTTCCAAAGTAGGACTCATTCACTCATAATTTGGGGAGTTTCATCATACTTTTAATAAGATCAAATAAGTATTAGGTTAGGAATAAAAAATAAGTACTTCCATTCATGCACTTTGTGCATATTTTAGTCCTATTTGAGACACTTTCTTTTTATGTAAAAATGTCAAAAAGTTTCTGAAATATATATAGGAAACATATTAGGGATAATAATTAGCGTAGAAAAAACACGAAAGAAAACGAGAAGAAGTACAAAAGTATGAAATAGAGGAAAGAGTCAGAGAAGAAAAACAAGGAAAGTGATCATGATAAAGAAAAGTTTGAAAATTTACTAAAAAGCTCCAAATATGAAAATGAATCAAATAATAAAAATCTTTCCAAATAGAAATATGCACTAACGAAATATTGTAAAACAAATGTAGTCGGAGTATATAACATTCGTAGCTAGTCAAAAAATGTTTCTTGACTAAACATCAAACGTTAAACACTAAAACCTGCGACCTTCTCTGGGAGATCCGCAGTGATGTCATCAGATCACAAAGTACTTGGTAACTTCATGTAAATTAGAAAGATAATATTTTGCATGGAATATAATTTCATGTCCTGTTACAATTAAACCTCCATTTACAATGTTTATATTCTTCTTTGACAAAATATGTTTCATATATATCAAGCAGAGCTGGCGGGAGGTGGAGAGAAAGAGTGGTACTTCTACTGCCCGAGGGACAGGAAGTACAGGAACAGTGCGCGGCCGAACCGGGTGACGAAGGCCGGGTTTTGGAAGGCGACCGGAACGGACCGGCCGATCTACTCCTCCGACAACTCAAAATGCATCGGACTAAAGAAATCCCTTGTGTTCTACAAAGGTAGAGCCGCCCGAGGGAGCAAAACGGACTGGATGATGCACGAGTTTCGCATGCCGTCGTCTCCCGAAAACCACCACCTTCCCACCCACAAACGGGTCTTTGAAAAGGTCATCCCTCCAAGTGTAAGCATATACTCCCTCTATCCCGTTAAGATTGTCATATACTCCTATCTTTCATTTTCCATCTATATTGTTTCATATCAAATTTGGTAAAATTTGTATGATTGTAAAGCATTCTTACTTCATTTTACTTTCTCAATTCAATATCAACCACATAAAACTAATTTTCTTAATAACTGCACCACATTCTCGTCTCTCAATGTTAGTGGGACGGAGATAGTATATCATATCTCCAACTATATCTCCACCATGAAACTAATTAAAATTTAGGGTAAATTTTGTAATTAGTTTGGAGTTGGTTAGGGCCTAGCTAGTGGCCTACCTCCGCCCCTGATATAAACACACATGAATGGAATATATATTTTGAGACATTTTCATAAGTAGAACCATAGCATAACATAATTTAGCAAATAAATTCACTACTATTCTTTTTACTAAATAGGACTTCAAAAGAAGAAACTATAACTATCCCTATTCTTTTGTAAGGACTAAATAAGTCTTGCCGAGTATTTTGAAATAATTAACATACAACTTTTTAACTCCTTCCATATTTTACTCCTGAACAGTTTCTTTAATTATACATACTTCTATTATTCATATTCATATTAATAATAACAATGGCACAATGCATGTGCATGAATGAATTGGTGTTTTCACAGGATGCATGGGCAATATGTAGGATTTTCAAAAAAGCAAGCTCCAATGTACACAGGGCACTTTCTCATCAATCATGGGTAGTTTCATCTCCAATTCCCCAAACTCCCTTTCAAGAAGTCTTAACCCTAGACACCCACAACAACACTCATGCTCACACTAATAATAGCACTTGTTCAACCCTCCAATTTCATTGCACCAATGGCTTCAAATTCTCTACCGACATCGCCGCCAACGCCACCCCTCAGCCACTAGATCTCCTCCGCCCCTTCAACAACGCCTCCCCGAGCTACAACGCATTTCCTTCGACCCTATTCGCACATCATCAAACACCACTCCCCACCAACAACATTGCTAATGACGCTTCTTCCTTTTTGCTTGAAATGTCAAGTTCAGTGTTTGGAGACTGTGGTGGTGGATTAGTCGCCAACGGCTTTCCGGTGGCGCCACCTCCAGAAAACCTTACGGAGGGGAGCCAAAAGGGAGAAGGTAAGACTGTGGTGGATGGAAATGAACCCCCAGATATAATTGATGATTCCATTAGGTTTTCTTTCAATGGCTTCCCTTTGAGCATGGGGTCTGACACTAATGCATGCAAGTCTAGTGTGGTTTGGGAATCTTCACCCTGTCCAAGTGAAATCTCATCCAGTTATTCTACTAACACAAGTGCTACACTTGAGCACTTGTTATAATATACAATAAACTTCCTTATATGTATTCCATATTTGTAAGCTTCTCCCAGCTGGTGAGAAAGTGTAGTACTCTTTGATGTATTACTAGTCAACTTTACTAGTTTACTTCTGAGAATAATTACATCTCTTTTTGGAACTGGGATGGTCATATTTACCAGCAGCATGAACTTGATCTTTCTTCGTGATTAAATGCTGAAAACAATTTTTACATGTGGTTTAAATGTAATAAAGGTGTGTAGTTCGATCAAATGTATGTTAAACTAATATAATCCCATTCATTGTTAATTGTTCCCTTGTTGTTATTTAATTTTAAAACTTATATTTTCACATTTACCGAGTACGTACAATTTTGACTAATTAAAATATGACCAAATTTTTAAAAATACAATTTAATATCACATTATTAATGATTATATTACATCTCTTTTTGAAACTGGTCATATTTACCAGCGGCATGCACTTTGATCTTTTTTCGTGATTGAATGCTGAAATAATTTTTACATGTGGTTTAAATGTAATAAAGGTGTGTAGGTCGACCAAATGTTCAACTAGTATAATCTCATTCATTGTTCATTGTTCATTGTTCCCTTGTTATTTAATTGTAACAATTACATTTTCACATTTCCAACTATATCACATAAGTATAAATATATTTTAACCCATAATTATAAACAGGTCAGCCTGTCAGGCTTAATAGGCTTTAAAGTCAAGCTAAGCCTGGCCCATTAATAGAAACGAATATTTAAAAAGAGCCTAAGCCTGATTCTTTTACTAAACAGGTCAGGCCTTAACCAGGCCAGGCCTTAGGCCCCTGACAGGCCGCTTAGCCTATTCCCACCCTTATTTCCAAGGCACAATTTTGACTAAAATGTGACCAATTTTTGTTAAAATACAATTTAATATTACATAATTAATAAAATGTAATCAGAATATCAGATTATAGTACATACATAATGCAAAAATGAATATAATGCAATTATGTAAGAATGGAAGTATTATATACGGACTTACGGAGTGTATGTTTTCAGTGTCAAACTTCCACATCTATTTTTGATGGTGCTCTCTTAGTCTCTTTGCTATCTTCTCTATGCAGCACATAACCTTAGTTAGTTGTCCACGAAAACGTCGTCAAAAAGACACTTCAAACGAAATGTAATTGATGAAGTTAGAAGTATTTGTTCATACTAAAAAGTTAAATTAAATGTATAAAATATAAACCAATAATTCAATGTATAATAGTGAGCGATTGTTGTTTGGATTAACCTTTTGAAATGAAACTTCATTTGTTTATATGGCACCATGCGTGCAGTGATCAGATAGGTTAGCCTTGTAGCATTTATTTTGCACATTTATCTACCCTCTTTTTAAAGTCTACTTTGGGTTGAAATTTTGGAATTATTATCTAGCATCAACATGGTACAAAATATTATACTTTCTTTATTATCTGTCCTCTTAGGCTTTGACAGGGGTTTTAAGAGCAAAATATTAGAAGTAGTACAAAAGGTGTAGTGAGTTGTGAGTAAATGAAAAGGTAGAAAAGAGAAAATGGATAATGGTAATAAAAGTGATGAGGGTAGGGTATAAAGATATTTTGATTGAAAAGACTTACCAAAAAGGGAAATAGAGACAAATAATTAAAAACGTCCCAAAAAGGAATACGAGACGATTAATAAAGAACGGATGGAGTATAATATAAGGGGGCGTTTGTTAAGGTGTAAAGTGCTCATTTTACCTGCAAAGTGTAGGGATGCAAACAATTTACGCTGTTTGGTACGATTATTTAATGTAAACTGTAGGATACTGATTTTAAAATATATATTTTACACTCTACCATGTAAAATACTTTACATGGGGAGAGTGGTATTTTAATTCTTCAACACCGGCTGTTCTTCACAAGGGACATCTCTCTCGTACCCTTCTCGACTAATTCTTCTCAAAGCGTAGCACTGGTTGTTCTTATTTTGATCAACATAGCTTAGGGATTATACCTGCCACTAATAATTTTAAATTGCAGACATATTTATTAGTCTCTATCGTGTATATTCAAGAGAAATTTTGTCTCTATCATATACGTAGTAGAAGTTGGAAAATAATTTTTCTTCTTTAGAAAATTCTTTCTTACTTTCTTCTTGGATCAACACACTACAAGAAAACGGACTTTCTATGACAGATAAAAAGTGTCAAGAAAAATAGTGAAAGTGTCAAGATTGACCCTCCGGGGGATTTGCCAACACACACAAAAAGTGTCACTAGGAACGGTGTTAGGAAAAACCATTCTTGACACTCAAACACATGTGTTGGCAAATCCCTTAACACTTTTATTGACACATAAGTGTGTCAAGAAATTTACTCAAGTCCTCAATGTGTTTATGTGTCAAGAAATGTTTTTTGTGACACACAAGTGTCAAAGAAATTCACGTTCTCTTATTTTAGTGCACAATATACTAACAATAAATAACTATATTGTGTGCTAGTATTAATTAATAATAAGAATGTGTTCACTCAATGATCTCTTCATATTGAAACTGGAAAGTCATTCAAAAGTATTTAAAGTACTGCATAAGAACAAAGTTTACAAGAAAAAAAACAAAATTTACAAGAATAGTTTGTAGGTAAAAACATTCAAATCAGAGTAAGAAGTCCCAAGGCAACAATATACTAAATCTCTAAGTAGCTCCTCGTGGTTGATGGCTTCCCGTTGATGATATATCATTTGTAGTGGAAGGTTCACCGCCAATCATCTACAAAATATGGGATAGGGTAGAATTTAATACGCTTTGGTTAAAACAATCAAAGAGAGAAACAAGATATTTGGAGAAAATAATCAATGAAAGCCATAAATCTTTGAAGTGATTTATCATATAGTGTATGAGAAACAATTCACTCAAAAATCTCAAACAATTGACTGATTACTAAGAAGTGTATGAGATAAATTGTATGGCCCAAAAATTTCAAGAATCATTAGTTATGCCCCATAGTCCAAACATCATATAAAGTGTATAAGAAACAGTTTATTCAATCTGAAAATGCTGGACCAATTCTAACCAAGCACCGCACATTGGAACTATCAGCTTGGTTCCAAACAGTCCTGGTTAAAAAAAACAGAGAATTCGAGTCCAGATTGGTCCTGTAACTACAGTCACCCCAATCTCTTCTCAATATATATATTCAAGTTTCTATTAACCGGAATGAAATCTTCTTCCAATTAAATAAATAGAAAATGCAGGTTGCTTTGTCAGAAGTCAGAACCCATAACCACATTTGTATACAGAACCCAATCTTCTTCCATTTGTTTTTCTAAATGAAACAAATTTATCGTTCACACACAAAAGCTTGCTGAAATGAGTTCTATAAGTTTTCTCCATTTTCAAATTTCTATTTCCCTAGCACTTGCCTACTTTCGAACTTTATGTCTAATTTTATTTGAATATTTGTTTGATGCATATAAAATGTCATAAATGATGGTTATGTAAAAACGAGTATTTGCAAAACCGTGACTAAGGTATTTACTTTTACGGGCTATTCTTTAGAATATTTTTTTAGAAACACGCAACTGTACTATGTTATCTCATTAGCTTTATATCATTAATTTCCATATATGCATGTAAATCATAAGACCGACCAGTACAAGAAAGAGCAGATCAATTAAACTCATAATTCACACATATGCACACTATCTTTAATTTGACTTTAACAGTAAAGAATTTGTTAAATATCAACGCAAAAATCATTAAATGGTCTCACCTATTAACAGTTTCAGTGCACTTTGGGCATTCATTGTAGCACCAGCAGAACCAGTACCCTGCAAGTTATATATACTTTAGTTATTTCCTAGACATAAGAAATGGCACAAAAAAATAGAAGAGAATGATGCAGACCGATAATCTAAAGAGACCCTTGATCTATTTATGAACACAAACCGCACTCCCTGCTTGGATGCAACACGTCCATCTACCTTCAAGATAAGAATATTATTTGAGTTAGCTAACCAAGAAAACTACTACACACTGTAGAGTTTAAGATAAACACTACTCTACTAACTTTCCTAAACTTAGAGGATCAGAATAAAATATGCTTGCCTCAATCGTATTTAGAAAAGAAATTTCTCCCATAAGTTGCCCAATGATCCTTGACGTAAGGAAGATATTATGGTCATCATATATAAGATCTATTGGAAATAATACAAGGATATTTTTTTGAAACAGTACATCACTTTTCTGCAGCTAATTAACAAAAATATATGAGATTTTGAAATGTTAATTTAAAATTTCGCCCGTCTATTTTACCCAGGGGCTATTTTAGAGGCACCAGAGACATGAAAATACATTAAACACATAATTACTTGTAAAAAATAGATAGCTAAATAACTAAATAATAGAGTTGAATTACTATCAATTACGTATTTGAAATAAAAATTATTAATAATACATCTAGTCCAAACACAAATTAGGGGAAAATAGATATTGAATTTATATTTCGACGGATAGACTCGCCTATACGGGAATTTCTTCTTTATCATCATTGTTGGTTCGTGGTTCACTCGCAAGGAGAAGCAATTGAGACGATTCGCTTGCTAGGCTTCAGTTCTGGAAACAACAATGAAAATTTAAAAACAGATAGAAACACCTACCAGTCATGGTTGGAAGAAAAGTTAGGGGAACATTGATATCACTAGATACTTGCTGATGTTCTCCACTCCATCTATGAATTGCTCACTTGATCTCGGCGCAGAATACATCCAAGATCTATCAATCATGACTCTAACAGTAGGCTTAAACTAAAACTAGAGAAACCATAGAATAAATTAATAATTGACTTAGTATAAAATACTTTATATAATTTAGAGTAATTACATAAAATTGAATACAAACTCTAATGAAATTCTATATAACCCAAATTGGTTATAGATCAACAGTTAGGTGTGTGAATAAGATAGGAGTCTAAACAGTTTATCAATTATCATGACACACATGGAAAAATTTAGTAAATCTACTTAAAGCAATGAAAAAGCTATTAGAATTTAGAACAAATAAACAAATAATTTTAATGGAACTTTAATTTCAGAGATTTGTCTTTTTCGATCAAGCCATATTGAGCAAGAGATATAAGAATCAATTATTTCTATATAAGGTATAATTACAAAGAATAAATACAATTCAATTTGCTAATTAGATCTATTAAAGTAAGATTTTGTATATAAAATTGATTTCATGACCTGAAATTTCACTGGTGTATCAAATAGAACCCTAATTTTCACAAGTACTCT